GGGCTGCAGTGACTGAGAGTTGTGGCAGCCGTCCCTGGGCAGATGGGGCCGGGCTGAACTTGGGGTCAGAGCGGAATCTTTCTTCTTGACCTTGTGGCTGTTTCTGAGAGGTGCTGAAGTGCAGGGTTGATTGGCTCTCTCTTGAACCTGGCTTATCTGCAAGCCTGATAAAATTGGTCATAAAGTTGTCCTCTTCACTTTAGCCTCACTGCCTGCTGCTCGCTTCCTGCTGCTGCTGCTGCTGATTGCGGCTGAAGAGACAGAACACGTGGGGGACAGCTTCTGCTCCAGGTTCTCACCGGGCCTGACATGCAGCTGGCCCTCGGCGGGGACGTGGTGTGTGGCAAGAGAACTCGGAAAAGTTCATCCGGAGTTCTTCTGTTCTGTTCCTTCTCTTCCAGGAACTCAGGAGCGCTCTGCAGACTCTGTCTCACTTCCCCGTCCTTGTATTTTGTATGGAATGTAAATGGATTTAAGCGGGGTTTAGATAAACTCCCAGAACTTGAGAGTGTCAGCTGGATGGGTCCTTAGGAGTCATCAGGTTCTATTCCCCAACTCATTCCGCCCGCAAACATTTGTTGCATGTCTGCTGGGTGCCTGGCACTTGCTAGTTGTTGAGGACACAGAGGGGAACAGGACGGCCATGGTCCCTGTCTTCATGGTGGGGGAGCAGCCAGTAAACCACAAGGATTGCTTTAGCATGTGGTGGCTGTGAGGGGATAGAGAGGAAGTGCCTTTGGGTCGGCACCTCAGCAGTTTTGTTATTTCTGGTAGACCTACCACCTTCTAGCTCAGGAGTCGGTGGCCCATGTCCCCAAGCTAAGAATGGTTTTAACATTTTTAGTGGTTGACCAAAAGGATAAACTTGGCAATAGAGTTTGATAATAGGGAACACTGACTTTGAACCTCAATCAAGTGAAATGTTACCTGCCCTCTTCCCTGAAAGGATTTCATTCTTCTCATTAGTAGACCTGTATTCTAGAAAATGGTTCTCAATTATTATATTTTGAATTTCATCAGTAAAAACATTGTGGAATATTGTTTTCTTTCTCCTTATATAAGTACCTGTATAATTTCTTGAATGTGGCCTTCTGACCTGCACAGCCTAAAATGTGTACTGTCTGGCCTTTTATAAAAAGGGAGTGCGGAGAGACCTCCATTCTAGCTGTGTGACTTCACAAGTTACTCCTTTGGTCTGTTTCCTAGTCTGCAGAATGGGCATGGTGCCCGTTTTCATAGCGCTGCCGCGAAGGAATAAAAAGAGAATTGATGTTAAACTCCTGCCATGTGTTAAGAGCTTCAGCAGATGTTAGATCTTCCCCAGTGAAAAGTCAGTCAATAATGATTGATTTCTTAAAGGCTGTTAGAGGGAGCAGAAGGGGGGATGGGACCAGGGTGGGCGGGGCTCAGTGCTCCCCTCTGAGGATCAGCATCCTGCTGAGTTGCTGCCCAGCCCCTGAGCTGTGGATCACAGCCCTGCAGATCCCCAGGGCATTAATGCCACTCTGATATAATTTTCCTCATGAAACGCAATGAAGCATAACTAAAAAATGTGAGTAACAGCTTCGAGCCCATAATGAGGCTGTAAATAGAAGACAAAAATGATTTATGAAGCCTTTTCCTGGTGAAGAACTGTCCTTTTCCTAGACCTTTTCACTTTCTCTTTGCTTTTCTCATTAATACTCACCATTGGCTTCTGTTGCTAACTCATTTTAAGAAGGAAACAGCGCGTTTATCACTGTGTGATGGTTGCTGCTTCACACTGCATGGGAGAGACCAAGGAGGAAGCTGCGTGAAGTATGGACACTGGGCGGACGGCTAGGCCCACTCACTGTCTGAGTGACCTGCACCACCCATACATTTTCCTGAAGTAAAATTACACACGCTCTTCCTTCATGGACGGTGTCAATATGAAATCTGTAAATGCCAAGGGTCACCACTCCTGGGCTGAGCCCATGAGTCATTTTATACCTTCTCGCCAGTTTCTTCCTTGAACAGATGGGTAAACGGAGGCTGGGGCTACTGGAATGAGCTCGCAGGGCAGGGCAGTGTGCAGTCTAGACAGAGCTGGGGACCTGGCTATGCTCAGGTACTTGGAGCCAGAAGCACGTCCTCACTTCAGGCTCAGACATCCACACGTGACTGCTCCCTTTTTGGTGGCAGCCAGAGTGCTCTGCATAGCAGGACTCCAGCAGGAAGCAGTCTGTTTGATGAGAACCAAATGGCTCTGGGAAATGCTTGGGACAGATGTCTCTCATTCCTTCTGACACCGATGCCACCATGCGGAGCCGTCTGGAGTTGAAGGGACCTTCGGGGATTTTCCAGGGATGTTTGCAAACACTTCGTTGCAGACCAGCTCCCTTGGTGCTTTGCACGGGACGTGTGTGTTGTGTGTGAAGAAATGAGTCAAAGGGAACACAGATGGCTGTTTTCAGTGGCCTCCTAACATTGTGTTTGTTGGCACCAGGCAGTGGGAAGAGGTGTGTTAATTCTCCAGGGAGGTTTTAGGGAAGATCTTTTCGAGATCTGCTAAATGGAATGCTAAGCCGCACGTGTGTCTGCGCATATGTTTGTGTGTCTTGCTTTCGTTGCTTATGGAGCCTGCAGGCTGGATTGTCAGGAAGCAGAGGGTAAAAACAGAGGCGACTGGGCAGAAATCTGAACTCAGGGCCTGTGGATCGTTTGCAGATGTTGGTTCTCTACTGCGTCTTGACAAAGGGTATCCCGGAGGGGCGGGAGATGAGCAGGGGGGGAGAGCAGAGAATGGGGAGGACTGCAGCTGCTGGAGTGGAATTCCCATTTCTCAGCTGGAAAAGTCAGCATCACTAATCCCCCGTTCCAAGAGAAGCTGGGCAGACTGCAGCAGCTGTCTGAGTTTTTGCAGTTGCCCCAGTTTCGGCTCTCTCTTTGAATCTAAATTTGTGGGTGCCAGAAACTGTGGAAGAAGCTGCTGCAGTGGGCTGTTTGCCTCTGTCCAGTGGGGGAGGACCGGGAACTTTTTTTTTTTCCTGGAGAGATGGTGGAGTTATTTTAAGTAAGTGATGTGCTGCAGTGAACATGGGCAACTCTTTTTCATTTTTCAGCTTAATGAAGAAAAAGAGAAGGGAGGAGGAGAAGCCCCAGCTAGCCTACTTTGTGCTAATGCTTGTCTTTTTGGATTCTAAATGTGTCCCCAGACACTGAGATGGGATAAATATTTCAGCCACGAGAAAGTCCTGCTGTCGGGGTGGAAAGATTTCTCACCTCTTTTAAAGCAGACAGGGTAGTCATTTACTTGCACAGATCCAGACACCCTCATGTACCTCATTTTTAACTATATGTGTACAGGCCCCACTCACCTTGTAGGGGGATGAGGCAAGAGGTGGATAGAACGTTCCAAGGAGGAGTCTGGGGATGGAGATGAGCCAGTAACTACACGATTGGTTTTCTTCTTGGAGCGACCACACCTGCTCATGGGGGACCCACTAAGCGCCAGATGTGAAGGACACAGAGCTGGATGAGACAGTGGCCCATGCCCTCCGGGATGTGCCGTCTCAGTGGGGAGATGGTGCAGACACACCGGTCAGCACAGGTTGTGATAAGGGAAGACAGGACAATACCAGACTGGAAAACAGGGACCAACTTTCGATTGGGTGTCAACGCAAGATCTCAGAACGAGTGACGTAAAGCTGAGGTCTTAAGGCCGAGTGACATTAGTCAAATGTATTAGTTTGTTAGGGCTGCTATAGCACAGTACCACGGACTGGATGGTTTACAGAAGAGACATTTATCTTCTCCCAGGCCGGGAAGTGAGAAGTCTGAGATCAAAGTGTGGGCAGAGCTGGTTTCCTTTGAGGCTTGTCCCCTTGGCATGCAGATGGCCGTCTTCTCCCTATCTCCTCGCATGGTCTTTCCCGAGTGCCTGTCTGTGTCCTGATCTCCTCTTTGTAGAAGGACACGGGGTAGATTGGATGAGAGCCCACCCTCACGGCCTCGTTTTAACTCACCACCTCTTTAAAGACCCTGTCTCTGAAGTTAGGCACATTCTGAGGGACTAGGGGGGGTTAGAGCTTCAACATACAGATTTTGGGAAGATACAGTTCAGGCCCTAACACCCATAGCGCAGGGAGAGGTGGGTGGAAGAACCGGGGTCAGCGAACAGCATGCCTGGAGGCCTTGCTGCAGGAAGGACATTTGTGTTCCAGGAAATAGTTAGAAATGAGGTTGCAGAGAGAGGCGGGGCCTGGATCCTGCTGGGCTTTGTCAGCCATGGCAAGAGTTCTGGATTTATTGTAAGGGCACCAAGAAGCCATCAGTAGCATATTAAAGCCTCCGTCTGCTGTGAGGAGAAGGAACTGGGGGCAATGAGAAGTGAAGGTTGGGAGGCTGGTTAAAGCCAGGATTTCTCAGCCTCGGCCCCATTGGCATTTTGGGCTGGGCGACTCTTTGCTGAGAGGGGCTGCCCTGTGCATTGCAGATGGGCAGCAGCGTTCCTGGACTCAGCCCAATAGATGCCACAACCCAAAATGTCTCCAGATTCTTCCCTCTGTCCCTGGGGACCAAAGTCGCCCTGTGTTGGGAACCACTGGCAGCTTGCATTCACTGGTACCAGCTGAGTGAGGCACACTTGATGGGTTTGGGAAGATTTTTGAAGACAGGATCAATGGGATTGAACCCCTCTTTGCCTTGATTCCTCCTCATGCTTTTGAGTTTGATGATATTGTCGTTTCCCTAAAGCGCGAGGTTCTGTGCCCCTTACATGCATAATTGAGTCACTTGAAAATGCACAAAGCATGTTCCTCTGTGTCGTCAGTCGCCAGGCCCTGGGGATCCCTGGTCTGCCTGCAGAGCCCTGAGCCCTGTGGCTGGCAGGGCCACCTGCATGTGACAGACATGGTGTTTAAGTCTCTGTATCACCCTTTCATTTGTCAAGCCCATCTGCTGCCAGCCTGTTGACTCTCAGAGCAAGCACTTTGGAATCTAATCTCGCCCATTTTCTGCCTCCGGAAACCTGTTTATCAGAACAAGATTTCACCATGGCAGCGACTTCTCAGGGAGCTTGCCTTCCAGGAGCTAGCGCTGCAAAAGCAAGTGGAGGTATTTCTAACAAAACAGAGTGACGGTTATATTCAGAGCCCTGGAGAATTCCCTGCTTGCTGGGGGGATCAGAGCAGTTGTTGGGAAACAGCTGGAACGAACGCGTGGGTTCTCTGGGTTGTATGTTCCATGTCTGGCCGGGATCTAGCACCTGCTGTCCTTCTAGGTTCCTCTCCTATGGCCCACTCTCCACCATCTAGAGCCCTCACCTGGAGACAAGGAACTGGTTTCACATTCTTCTCAGGGTAGGGGACAGTTTCCGAAGAGTTGGGTCTCGAGAGGGATCTGATAGTGAGTGTGGGCTCAGTGGACAGAGCACCGTGACGAGTGGTGTCTGACTGGCTGGTGGAAGAGGGAACGCAGTAGCACACTATGTTTACAGTTCCCAACAACCACAGCTTGTTTTTGTTCCACACCCTTCAGTGTTCTGGGCTGAGCTCTTTGCTCTGTGTCCTCCTCTACGCCTGAGGGGTTCTTACATTCCATCTGTGTATCTGTCAGCATGCACTGCAGATTCCACCTCTCTCCTCGAAACTTTCCTTAAGGCCTTGAATTTTGACTTTATCTTAAGAACAGTGGGGAACCATTCAATGGCTTTTTAAAGTAAGGAAGGGTCATTATTAATGTGTTCTTTAGAAAGGTCCCTCTGGCCATGGAGAGGGACGTGCAGGATGGCAGGGAGGCCAAATCGGGAGACTGTGGCAGTGACCTGGTAAGAGATGGGGCAACCTGGGCTGGAGTTGAGGCTGTGGCAGTGGAGACCAGCATGCAGGACTTGGTGCTTTGCCATCTTAGGGAATGACACAGTGAAGAGGGATGTGTAGGGTTGTTAGGGTGCTGGTGAGGGTAGTTGGGGTGAGGTGAGGTCCCTCGCTTTAGCTGCTCTTCTAGAATTCTTCAGTGGACTCTGAAAGCTCGTTTTTAGTAGGGAGATCGTTCATTATTAACTCAGCACGCAGGGCATCTGGTCTACCGTAATATCCATGGTCCTTGGGCTGGTGTGGCTCTGCTTGCCTGTGACTGTTTCGTTCTGATTGATTGTTGCCCACATGTTCCAGTTGTCAGATATGTTTAGTATCACCCCAGTAGTACCGTAGTCACACAGAGAGTAAGATCTCACTTCCACCTGGAAAAGTCAGGGAACGCTCTAGAGGGACAGCGGCACAGAAGTTGTGTGCTAACGCGCATGTAGGGATTCGCTAGGGGACCCCACGGGTCAAAGGACATTCCAGGTAAAAATAATAGCACTTTTCACAAACAGTGGCATGAAAGATGTGATGTCAGGGGTCTGGAATGAGATGCTTCTCTTTGGCAAAGCTTGTGGAAGAGGCTCACAGGCCCTCCTCTACTCCGGCTACCCCCAAGCAGGAGGTGTGGACACCCCTCGTAGTCCATGGCAATAAAATCACTAGTGTACACATATATACATACTTTCCAGCCCGAGGTTTCATCTTTGCATCTTTAAGACCTGGCACAAGTTTCTGGTCATAAGTGTTCAGTAGATGCTCACTGACGTCTCAGGAGGGAGCTCTGGAAGGATCGGTCTTTTTTTTCTCCTTTTACCCTAAGACCATGTTACTTCCAGATGGCTCCTTATCTCCGGGCCAGTGATCACACTGGCTCAGACCCATCAGATGGATTAGGCTCTGGCTCCCTTGAAAATCAGTACCCCCCTCCCCCCAGGTCCATTGGTGGATGAATTCAGCACCCTGCCCCCATGCCCTGTTTGCTTTCTAGCCTGAGGATTAGCTCTTTTGGGTGAGGGCCTTGACATTTTGTGACTCTGTTCAGTGAAGTTGCATCTCAGCCTTGGGGCTTGGTTCTAAACCTCCAGGAATGCTTGGCAAGCAGTTCAGTGACCTTGGTGCTCCCTTAGGGGTTAGAGGCCTTAGTTTAAGTTTCAGTTTGGCTTTTCCTCCCCGTGTGACCTCAGGCAGGTCAACTTTGTGGGCTGGGGCTCCCATTTTCTAAAGTGAAATTATCTGCTGATATCCCTGTTGACTTTGCCCAAGTTCAAGGATTCTGTGACTATAGTGCTACAGAGTCTGAGACCTGGCAGGAGCCCACAGTTCCTACTCTTGGAGGCATTAGGAGCCCATTGCTCACTCCTGTCCAAAAGCCTTCAGTTTTGGTCACTGCTGATGGCCAGGAAAGAACATGTGGATTTTATAACCAATCTTTTTGACGGAGAAAGAAGACAAGTCAGTGTGTCAGACACCTGCCCCCTACTTCTTGGTTTTTCTTCATTTAGGCCTCTTAGAATCCCCAGGGTTCTGGCAGCGAAGATGATCAGTCCATTTCACCAATGAGGAAACTGAGACCCAGAGAGGTCTCACCTCTACAACCCATGGGGGTCCTTGTCGCCTTTGCCACACCATCTGATGTCCCTGTTCCCTCTCTCCAACAGAGAGCCAGCTGCTCCCTGGGAACAATTTCACCAACGAGTGCAACATTCCAGGCAACTTCATGTGCAGCAACGGGAGGTGCATCCCGGGCGCCTGGCAGTGCGATGGGCTGCCTGACTGCTTCGACAAGAGTGACGAGAAGGAGTGTCGTGAGTGCCCGGCCCTGTGGGGGAGATGGTGGGGGTCCTGGGGCAGGGAGAGGAGGCCCCCATCTGGTTAGACCCCTAACACTCTGCTTGCTGCCCGTGGTAGGCATGGGCATCTGGCCAGCAGTCCTGCCCTCTCCACCTGTAGGTCTGTCTCAGAGCAGTGTGGCCTGTGCAGAACCCAGGGCCTTGGTGGCGATGGAGTCACAGCAGTGGGAGAGCAGAGGACCCTTCCAACTGGGCACTGCTAGGGCCTAGAGAGGGGTGTGTCTCATTCTCCCACCCACGTCCTTCAGCCTCTTATCGTTTAGTGCTCCTGAAATATGCGTGAGATTTGGCTGGTGGGAAATCTATGAGAAAGGACACATCTGGGATGTGAGTGGGGGGCGTCCAGGTGTCCAGTGATCTCCCTGCCCCGGAGGGGTATGTCCCTCTTCCTCCCCAGAATTTGACGCTGCAGCATGAGCTTGGCCACGGCACCCCAATAGGTGGGAAGCACAACCCAGGAGTGCCGGGCCCCAGGTTGTCCAGTGGGTGGGTGGCTGTCTGGGGTCTACACAGCTGGACAGTGCTTCTTGGCTCTTTCCTGGCCTTCAGGTATCAGGCCTCTGTCAGGAGAACTGTTTTCTGACTCCGAGTCTGCAGACTCTCTGGAAGCCAGCTGAGGAAATGGCTGGTGAGAGGCTTGTTATTGGAATTTTTAACATAGCTGGTGTCAGGATTTGAGGCCGAGTTTGTTGACCCATGGGAAAGAGCACTGGGTGTGGAGTCCACCTCCAGAGCCAGTCAACCCCCTCTCCCGCCCCCAGTGATATGCCTCCTCGGGCCGGCTGCCTGTCCCAAAACAACCCCTTGCCTGTACAGGGCCTGGTATTCCTGCTGCCTGCCCCTGCTCTGCAGAGAAGTTTTTGGGGGGGTGAATCGGCAGTATGTTTTTTTGTGGGGAATATTTTGTTTGTTGCCTATAATTTTTTTCTGAAGAGACCACTATCCATCATGCATTTTTATTTTTGCAGTTTTTAAAAAACTATTGTCTCTGTCAGCCTCCTCTGTTTCTCGTGTGGCCTCCACCTTGCTAGAAACGTAACGTTTGTCGTTTGAGTTTCAAATGACTCAGCATGTGTAAACTCCATTACCTGCCCAGCTCTCACGTTGTTGACGCGGTGCGAATATGTGGAATGGCTGTGCTTAGGATGCGGCGTGTACCTGAACCTCCAGCACATGCTGGCTGTCCTTGGCGGGGGGGAGGTGCTGAGTCAGGACAGGTTTGTGGAAGAATGCGGGGCGAGGAGGTGGGACCTGTATCAGCCCCCAGCTTTGGCAGTGGCAGCTCTGTGATACTAGGCAGCATCCTCTGTGACATTCTGTGTCCTGTGAGCCCAGGGCCGTGATTACAGGACCCACGCACAGGCTGAAGGGGTGGCGGAAGGAGAGTATAGGGAAAAAGACGGCGCGGGCAGCTGCCTGGCGCGGTTTGGTTTGGCTTGGAACAGGCTTGCCTTGGCTGTTCTCCATTCTTTTTTCCTCATTTCCTACCCTTAACCCCCAAGTACAGACTTGATTGACATTTATTTAGTCTTTTGATCAAAACATCATTTAAAAAATGATACACACAAACACATGCGTTTAAAAAATCTCTCTCCTCTGTTGCCTTTTTTTAAAAAAAATAAAAACATAAGAGCAGTAGAAAGTTTGGACAATAGAGGAAAGGAAAAGAAGTCCCTTTTCTAAAACAAATTCTACTTGCATTTTAAATTTCTGACATACTGCCCTACAGTCTGGGAGTCGACGGTGTGAGCACTGGAGAAAGATGCTGTGTCCAAATCCCAGCCCGTCCTCACCCTTTGCCCTCCCCCATGCCATGTGGTCTTAGGAAAGTTACCAGAATGTTCTAAATCTTAGCCTTTGGGAGAATTAAATGAGAATTCCTGGTGCTTCAATTCCCTCCTCTCCAAGATGAGAATAATAAGGCGTCTCATAGCATTGTTGTGAAGTTTGAATGCACACAACACAGTGTCTGGTAGACATCAGCTGTTACTGGTCAGTCTGCACACACTGTTTTACCCCCTTGTCGTCATGGGAACCCGTGACCGAGGAGCTTTGTTTCTTCTTCACGGTGGAGGCCCTTGGCCACATTACCGTATTTAGCATTCGTAATTGTTGTTTCGTGAGGTTGCCTCCTATTCCATCAAGTAGATGCACTGTCAGCCAACCACTCCGCTGCTGGG